GTTAGCGAGAAAACAGTTTCGCTAGCAAACACTGGTTTTCTACTGTTTTTTTTCAACATCTTGATTCTGTCAGCTCATTCTGGTGAATAATGAGCATGATAACATATAGTTCAGGCCTGAAGCCAAAGTCATTAGGTAAGAACCGGCTAACCTAGTTGACATAAAGTGCGAATAAGATGTGGAAACCCAGTTTCATCTGGCAAAAAAGTCCAGAAGCACTGTATCGGTCAGATGGTCTAGAAGGTGACTACTTCGAACAATGACGTCTTAACAGACTTGAGCCATTCAATTGGATTAAAGTGCCAATTTTCTAAGGCACAGTTCTCCATAGTTGGTTAACACCGATCCAAGTAACAAAGAGGAAATCCGAAGTAATCGGGCGTTATGCGGTACCGTATCCACACATTCCCACCCCCGCCCCCCCCGGCCTCATCAGTTTTAGCACTTGACTTTCAGACAGTAGGTCCAGAATTCGCACTATCTAATCAGGCTTCAGTATTATCATCATTCTCATAGAATATGTGTGGTCTACAACCTGGCACGTGAAAAAATCTGTTACTAATAGCCTAGTCGTAACCAACGGTTTTTAAAGATTGTCACGAGACTCTAATTAAGCAACCGACTAAATTGTTCGGGGGATCGTATTTCAACAATGCTGGCTGCAACTTTCACTGGTCCCCAATTAAAAAACACCTATTAATCATCTGATAATAATCACTGAGTTGTTCGCGCTGGTGATACTGAAGACAGCTCTGAAGGATGTGTGTGTGGCATAGACCTGCTACTTGAAAGAAGATTAGTGGGTCTTCACCACATATGCCGAGTTGTCCTACTGTGTAGTAAAAGAAAAGCCAACAAATCTGCATTCAGGAGTTAGCGCCAGTAATTGCAGTACGTGCTAAGTACGATTACGTTCCAAGCACTGTAGCGTGACTGGCAGGAGCCTGACATCGCAGTTTCCTTCGAATTAGAGTCCTTACACGTAGCTGAAATATCCGTGTACCTAGACGGTTGTGTAAACTCAACGTGGTCCACCACAGATAATCAGATTGTTTAGGAAAAAGCAAAGAGGAATACACCAGACTGCCACTATCGTAACATTACTCTTCCCTAAAAAGTTGCATTTATAACGTTTCTACGCATCTCAGCTTCATAGAGATGATGAGACAACTCCGCGTGTTCGTGGAATTTCCTGCATATGATGGCGCCACAACGAAAGTAGTTCTAAGGTCCAACGGAGACATTTCTGAAATAAGTGGTACATTCATACATACTTCACCAGCTCGGACGGGCTCTACAAATGTCATCCTAGAGGCTTGTATAACGCTCAATATTAGCTAGCTCTGTAACTGTTTCGGCTCATGATATCCAGTCGTGGTAATGTTAGAGATTAATGTTGCGAAAAAACAATAAATTGTACCAGAGAAAAACTGGAAGTAGGACAACGCGTATCAAGTTAAGAAGTAATATGAACGTACTGTTATGATATCGTATAGTATCAGAAATGTCATTCACCTATTCATACTTCACCTTGTCAGATACAGTATAAAGGTAAATCCTGTTGAGCTTCACAGGCGCACGCAACAAAACAATGCTGACTACTAAAAAATCAAGGAGCGGAGTGGTAATTAAACCAGTAACGAAACTTGTCTAACCACTAAGTATCTTGAACACTTAAATTCTATTCGTCCTAACTCCCCACCCTACCAACGCTCTACTCTGTGGTAAACTGGACACTTCCAGTGTTTCGAATGACAACACTCTAGCCATTGTCGCAATTGTGTGACTTCTCGAAGCCTATGGTTCACCAGCTATGCTGAGCCTGTGAACTTCATGACAACAGGTATTATCACTCAGTTTTGTCCGATGATGACTGGCATGAAAAACCTGTCATCTCACCTATACACTCCGATCAGTTCTCGTACACGCATGTACTACGTAGTACACTGGTTACTGCACTCAAAAATTAATTCCCATCACACTTTTTGAACAGTGCAGTCAAATACTGATGCTTCCTTCATCTAAAATAAGTCTCTCTGTTTTCGACATAGAACTTTGCACAAATGTGCGGAAGTTCAAGTCGCCACACTCCGTGTAGCACGCGAAGCAAGAGGAGAAAGTACTAGAAAAGCATAAGAGAAACAGTGAGCAGAGGTGTGAGGCAAAGGAGTAATAAAGAAAAACAAAACAGTTTCATTGCAGATCATAAGTCACAAGGAGTGGATGCATCTGCGCTTGCCACTGAGAACGATTTTGAGCCATGTCACCAATTGTTTCCAACCATAGATTTTTACCGTCCCGAGGACCCCAGTCTGGAAGTCTACACCTTCCTACGTGGCTTAGACCAACTGTTGTGGATTTCATTGACTGGTGAAGCCAAGTTTTTGTTTGACCGCCGCTAGTTTTTTTCCAGCCTGACCCTATATCCGCTAACATTGCTCGTCGAGGGAGGCGATGGCTTGGCATACGTAACACATGTCCTAACCATCTCAGTCTTTGTAGCTTCACGACTTTGTCGATTGATTTCCCCTGTTTACCTAGCACTCGACGCCTAACTTCAATGTTGCTCACCTTATTATGCCACTTTACACGGGAAATAGAGCGCAGGCACCTATGATCAAAGACAGCTAGTCTTTTCATGTCTTCCACTCTCAGTGGCCAGGTCTCACAACCATAAAGGAGGACGGAGCGGACTGATGAGCAGTACACCCGCCCTTTGGTTGATAGTCGAACATCTCGTCTACGCCAGAGTCGGCGTAAACTGGCAAATGCGAAACGAGCCCCCTGTATTCGTGCTGAGATTTCGTCAGAGATCAACCCGTTGACACTGGCTGATGGTACTTCCCAAATAAGTGAAGCGGTCAACGTGCTTTACCACTTCACTTCCTATTTTTAAACTAGGCGTCGATGTAGTCCAGTCCTGTAACATCATCTTACATTTGGCGGGAGCGAATCGCATGCCAAACATTCGTAGATTGCGGCTCAAGGTGTTTAGAAGACTCTGCATTTCGTCAGCGTCTTCGCCTAGAAGGACTATATCGTCTGCATATTCCAAGTCAACGAGATTATTCCCCGGTAGCAAGTCAATCCCTGAGTCGCCGAAGTCACTTAGGGTTAAGTCCATTAACACATCTATGATGAAGTTGAATAGAAAAGGAGATAATGGGCATCCTTGACGGACACCACTGGTCGTCATCAGTTCAGATGACAGCTCACCGAAAGCTGCTAACCTTGACGTGGTGGTCGGGCTTGAACACCGCAATGATCAATTCAAGCTATACTGGCTGAGACTTATGTCTCTTGAGGTACTACCATGCCAGACAGGTTGTTTGGATAGTGGTTAAACAAAAAGCAGCTACCCAATCCAACATCATGTCCAATACAAAATCACAAAATTTCATGCCGGATCGGCCGTGGCCCGGATTAACAACGACCGCGCTTCCTGCTGCCGTGTCACAGGGCAGGAGTGATAAATCTGCTACTGAGACACACCAAACAAAAAAGAACGAACAAAAACAGGCCGCGTGTGACCGGCCTCAAGCAGTTGTCCCCTGGGCTCTGCGGTCACGCAACCAACTTCCACGGTGTGGGCAGCCGGGAAGTAACAATCGCCCTCACAATCCGAAATGCACAAGAAACCTCTCTATTACTCACTCATCTTTGTCTTCATCTCACCGTAAGCCCTCACCTGGCTGTATGAGTACGAGTAGAGTGCCTTAATCAGTGCAATGTACTTTCTCGACATTAACGATACCTAGTCGAAAGCAGATTGTGAGATGTCAAGAAATACATTTTGAAACCCAAGGACATAACTGAAGAACAGTCATTATCTCATGTATTGGAACACGTTGCCACCCACACAACTCGCCGTAAGCCCTCACCTGGCTGTATGAGTAGGAGTAGTGCCTTGATTAGTGCAATATATTTTCTCGGGATTCCCTTTACAGCCAAGCATCTCCAGAGAACTTCTCGATCAACAGAGTCGAATGCTGCCTTTAGGTCAAGAAATATGATGACTGTTGGACGCCGGTAGGAATGCCTATGTTCTAGAATCTGTCGGAGGGTGAAGATATGATCAATACACCCTCTTCCTGGTCTAAAGCCTGTCTGGCTCTCTCGTGTTTGTGCCTCCCGAGCACCACTCAGTCTACGCATGATTATTGAGCCTAAGACTTTAGATACTATATTAGTCAAGCTAATCCCTCTGTGATTATCACAGGAAGACTTGTCTCCCTTCTTGTATATGGGGATAATCAGTGACTTACACCAACCCGATGGGACTTCTTCTGATTTCCAGACGCTGCCTAAAAATAAAATAAGACCTTTTCATCAGTTCATGACCAAGAATTTTGATGAAAATAAGCTAATTTCTTTAATCCAAGTACTTTTTCAATCACTAGTGGTTATCAAAAGTACATTTTCAACGCATGTACACAGGTGGTGGCTGGCAACGACGTTATCCAGTGACAAGGCCGACCAATGGAACAGATATTTAGATATCAACCGTAGACGGAATTAGTTCTGAAAAAAAATGAAAGTCCAACTTGTTCGAACAGTCTGCCAGAGCGCTAGAATAACACTGGGAAGCAAAACTGGTTTACATCTCCTTACTATGCAACCTCTGCTCAAATGATAATTAACTGTTGTCTGAGTCAGACACGCACTATCACTACTTTTATTAGTCATTACTAAATAAACAACCGTTAGTCCACTCTGATGCCCTAAGCATTGTAATATTGCCAAGACTCACATAACTCAGTTGAGATTATCTTTTTTGGTGAAGATATTAGCAAACTACTCTCCGCTCAACAAGTGATCACTAAGTGCAGATGTAGCCTGATGCTACATAACTGGATTCTACCAGTCTGAGGATACAAGACTGGAGAGATCACACATATTTGGTGATACCACTTTCAAAGTGTCTACCTCATACATACGTTCTTAAGTTATGAAAACTGGTGTACTAACAATACATCAACACATGAATTATGGCAGAAATGCAGTGACACCTGTAACACTGAATACTTTGATAGCAAAAGAAAACGTTTATTCAAAATCGATTTATCAGTGAATCGAATAACCATGTACACGCCATTTATCGCTTGCCACCAACGCGAGGAGCTGCTTTTTGAGTGATCTTTGTGGCCTTTTGTTTAGCGGCTGCTGGTACTGCAGGTTTCTTCTTCTCAACCTTCTTAACTTTCTTTTCAACTTCTTTCTGCTTTTGCTTTTCTTTAGCTGCACTGCAAAGATATGAGATTACTCACAATATCACTTACCGTATAGCTTGATCACGCATCGCTTTACGAACCTCAGGTTTCTGGTTTCGCTTAGCCATTATTTCGGCCAGACTTGCACCAGCAATGCCACGGGCACTTTTAGTCACACGCTTTGTTCGCTTTTTGGCCTGTTCCTCGCTTATTCCTTTTTTGTACTTACGCCGATAGAGTATTGTCCAGTTTATTTCTCGAGGATTACGCTTGAGATAGTGAGAGCGTTCGCATTTTCCATTAATGAAATAGAAACTGCGACCATCTGTACGGATAACTCTTTTACCATGACCCGGATAAACCTTGAAGCCACTGTAGGAACACACTTCTAACCTAAAATACAAAAAAGATGTTTCAAGAATAGTTTCGCGTCAAACGGTTGGTTAATACCTTGCAGCAAACCAACATGACACTATTAAAATAATCAGAATACGCCTAGTTTAGCGCAGGAAACCACATTATTTGACGAGTCGAGATTAGTAAATGTTTCGGTTAAGCATTTCAGCGCCGGCCTGCTCATGACCTATTTATTCTTAACTTCCTACAATAAGTGCCTAAGTGAATGACGTCCTTTGTAAAATGAATGTTGAACCTAAAATCAGTTGTATATCCTACTCTCATAACACATCAATCAGCCTAAGCTTAATAAGTGCGGTCGAGGATTTAGCTTGTGGATATTATTTCCAGCTCATCATTACCGGGACAAACGGACCTCACATTAAGAAGTCACCAAATAGTAATGATGCAATCCCTCCCATACAAATTAGGTTCACGCCTTCACCGGTGTGACCGACCAAGGAGTCATGTGAATTGCAAATTGGTAGTCGCCCAAATATGCTGCATAGATGACTTCGGTATTTGTTAATGACAATGATACCAGATGCTCTTCCTCAATACCCATTTCTTTTTCAAGCAACTTAAAACACATCAGTGAACTCTGGGTTCACTTAACACGAACCTTCATTCCAATATCTTTTGGATGAGCATCCCACGAGTCTTAAACACGTTCAAAGTACCTCCATGGTACCTTGACGGATGCTTTCGTGTGAGACCTCCGGTTATAGTTATTTGTATGGAGAAAAATTAACTAGCTACGTAATGAAAGACATTTCTACTTGATAAAGCTCGTAGGAAATCGTCATTTTGCTACGTACATAAACGCCACGCTACCAGAACCTGTGATATCACTCCTGTTTCATTCCTCACAGTTAATCCTTGAAATATAAAAGCAATATAAGATACTTTCAAGTAATAATTATCAAGAACTTTAACTAAAACATCAACACGCTCATAACCCACTTCATCCTCGTGCGAACCGCCTTTTGTATCACTCAAACAAGATGACGAGTGACCTAGATGACTTTAAACGATTTACCGTGAAGATATAATGAACAATATGTAATAAGTCTGCTTCTTACTACTGCCATCTCAGTAAGTCTACTAAAACTATTTATTCATTGCTTTTTTGTTTCCTTATCACAGACCAATCAGGTGTCTTGTTTTTCACTGAGTCATTTCGGCTGGAAATTTAATTACAGTGTCTTGATCTGCAATAGATTATCTATAGAATTGGGCTGTACCTGCTGTACGTTGTTGGCAAGATTATGGCGAAGCTGAATTCGCTGTGAATTTTTCAGCTTCACTTGATACTGCCAACAAATACAGCCCCTCCCTACAATGTGATAACGGTAAGATGAAAGAATTTCGTACCAACGTAATTTTTATCGACTTTTAATTTTTTTTAAATGACAAAATTTCCTACGTTCTAAGATTTTGACTTTAATGAAACATTATAATTTTAAATATATGTATAGTAATGCAGTGTCTAACAAGGGCCTATATAATTCGCCCAAATGAGCCAGTGGTGGCTAGTACAAATACTGGCCTATCAAGCCTTCGAAATATCCACTGAATCTCGGTTTTTTACATGCTTGGATTACTACCACTAATAAATCAGCGTTTTCACGGTATTTTTAAGGCGTCACCATACACTAGAATTCGTCCTTTGTCTTGTAAATTTCAAACTTACGGCCATGATACAAAAGTAATGTGGCGATTTGTTCGTCAAAAATGAATGCCTCCTGGTATGAAGCTTTCATGTCCTCCTAGTGTTCAGGTGGCATTCTCCACCACTACACGTCGTTAGGCTGTGCATCCTGACTGAAAATGTTATGCGTTCCCCACTTTTTCTAAAATAAATGGTATTTATTCCCGTTCCTTAAAAAATGCTATTCCCTTGTGGGAAGATCATCTATGCGATGCACTTTGCAAGATGCGTAAAAATGGCCGTGGAACATTCTCTTGGGTGCGAAATAAGTTCATCCCGAATATTTTAGTTTTGACATAGTGCGGCGTCACTTTAGTTCACATATTCTTTTAAGAGATATGTGACAGGAATCGGACTGTGACCAAAATACCCCCCCCCCCATATAATACATAAATCCAGCAAACATGATATCATTCGGATAACCACGTAAATTATTAAGTGAGCGAAGCTCAAGTAAAGTGCATGTGTTTTTGAAACTTCCGATACGTTACAACGAAAAGCATCTAAAACAAAGGTAATTCTGACTGTTTAATACCAGAAACTTTTAAATTGAATACGTCTCTTTTAGGAACGAGTTACCTTCAAGACCACTAGCGAATGCTGAGACTTCAACTGCTAAGCTGCCACCTCTTTATTCCTTCAATGTTCACCACATTTTGTTGAGATAAAACCAGAAAGATATGTTCAGGAAGCACCCGAGGGTGTGACTGAAGATTAGGCCGGCTGTGGATAACTTCATTGAGTCTGTACAACATGTAACAAGAAGTTAGAAATTTCCACATACAGAAGGTGTATTGCGACCAATTTCAGGATTTTATCATGGGTTGTGGCTTTCCTTGACATGAAAATCGACTTCAACCATACACTGTACATTCAACATCAGGGATTTGATGAGTGGTCAACTTGATTTTCAAGGACGCGTATACAAGATTTGGCTTAGTTCTTTTTGGTGAGAATGAAGGCTTTCTTAAGCCCCGAATATCATCTTTTCATGTTCACTGTTTAGCTTTGATAGAAATTAAAACAATGGGAACAGGTTTCTTGGGGTGGTTTTTGCAGAATTAAAAGAGTTTTGACAACAAGCTCAGAGAAAACTTTCATATAATGTAGTCACAACTCTTATCGTGTGTGCACAGAGCGGTACTTATCCACAGGCACATAATATGTTTGCCATGGAACCAAGATGTAACTACGACTAAAATAAATAGATCAAATTGAACTGGCTGAATAATAAATTAACACTTTTCCAAGCTGTCTACAGGTGTTTCTGGTGTTTCAAATTTGTTTTAGTAAGTGGAATTCCCACCAAGCCGGGATGACATTTTACGCCTTTCCTCGTTATGGTAACACACACATCCTCAGAATCTGCAGTTCAGTCACGCCAGCCACAGAAGTTCCTAAAAGTTTTCCCTAAATAAGCCTAACATTTGTTATACTTGTTTCTTGCTACAGTACATTTCTAAAAGCTAAGCAACTTAATTTGTATTTGTAGGCTAAGTAGTACAATAATTCACGGGGTTCTTGAGAAAACTGTGCTTAGTAAAGCTGGTTCAGTGTAATAAATCGACGCCACAAATAGTCCATTGTATTTAGTGAGGCCTAGTTTGCATCACATATGCCAGGAGGTTAGTTAGTCACATTGTGAATGAACTCGAGCTCATTTCCCCATCGGCCTCAACTTAATACGAAGCCCATGATTGTTAAATGAACGTCTATTTCCGTAGACTTGTGCTGGCTACCCGACCTGATCCATCTTAGCCTTTAGACTAGGTCACTGCTTGAAACCATTGAACTAATAAAGGGAAAATGCAACAATTAAGGCCGTTACAATGTGAATTTAGTTAGGAATATAAGTGAGAGAAAATTAAGATAAGCAGTCAGATCCGCGCCATCATATAGTCAGATTATAAAAATTTAGCACTGCGCTTATCATAACTTCAAGAAGTACAGTATTTCAGGATTCATATGACGCGACTTTGGAAATTTCCCATTAATTTCGGTTTCCAACCTCTCAAGATTCAATTTCAGAGGTTGCCAATTGAAGTTTGAGCTTTGATTAAAAAAGGCGCTTCTGTTAATTGTCTCCAATAACATGACACACTTCACTTGCTTCCCTTTGCATAAGTTGGCTCATGCAGGTCTTCTCAGAGAGCCTTCCCAGTAATTTAATGGGCAGTTCATGATTCTCCTAAAGAGGACGAAGGGTCAGAAAACTTAATCGCACCAGTTCTTTAAGAGTTGTCATTGTTTTCTAAGCTACCTGTAGAATATTTTTCATCTCACAGGTATCCGGGGACAAACACGGGCTTAACTGTTTGACTACTGTAGTGTCTAAGGCCTCAGGCTAAAGTTCCCCATCAATAACAAACCACATAAGACTGTCTACCTCAGACAAAAGTTCTGTTATCACACCCCCTCACCGATGGGTGGTGTAGCACTGAAACACCTACAAACCTACACTGTTTGGCGAACACCTAACTTACTCTCACCCATCTCTACTTATTATTCAGTGCCTGAGACATGTCCTGGAAAACATGGTACCAAGTAGTTTTTCAGGCGGTTGCAATTTCCGTGATAAAAAGCCACACACAGAGAGAGATATCACTTTCAAGGACTTTTACAAGTAGAAACGCGTAGGACTTAGATGTGACGTTTGCAGCCGCTTTTGTTTGTGCCACTTCCACATATCATAATGATTTTAGCCCTCTTCCAAACAGATCATTGCTCGTTTTCAGTGGAAAAGAGACTGGACTGAACTTTCAGTAAAAAGCTGTAAGTTACCACCTTCTCCAAGAGATTTATTCGTAAAGACTCAGTATTTACACAGCCTAAATTTCTATTTCACCTAACATTTGATATATACAGAGTACTGTGAGAAGAATTAACATACTGCACTGTTAGTGTGTTGTCATGTCACATTACCAATATCCAGTGCAGTGAATTGGAGAATATCCAATTCCTTCAGTATTTCAGGTAACCCTCCTATTAGCCTTTCTTTTGATCGCAGTCCAAAACGACGGCAAACCCTGTCGCATCTGATATTTCTGAGACAACCATTATATATAGCCATACTGAGTTACACACCATATCTGTATTCACTTCATACTGCCTTTTTCTTTCATTTCGGATTCGTGCACTGGCTTTCGACCACGGGCAATATGCCATAGCCTTGTCTAATGGAGGTGCACTCTTCCCAACAGATTGAACTTTTATATTCTTTTCATCCCTTTGCCTTGTCCTCATCAATTCTGTCGTTAGCCTTGAGTAAAATGGCAAATTTGGAGCAACACAAGGTCCGCCGACATCAGGGTTCCAGCTGTTTAATGTGATTCAAGTTGGAGGGAAGGGCAGTTTATATGAAATGATGTTAGAGGATACTGGACTGTGGTCGTTCCCCAGTAATCCAAGAACATTTATTCGGTTGCACAGGTACAACTGCGGGGAAGTGGCACAATCTAGAGCCATAGCCACTTATAACTGGAAGGGTTAAAATGGAGAAGCACTATATCAGGAAGCTCTCTTGGAATAACTTAAAACTTCGTGACAAGCTTGAGAAAGAATATTGTAAGGAGTCAGTGGAAAGTTTGCGGTTATTTATCAGAACAGGCTGTGTTAATCTTAGTCCTATACCTATTTAATGTACTGAAAATGGCACTTCTGGGAGGTGAATAAGCCTTTGGGTGATTGTAGAAAATACACACGAAGCAAGTTTTTCCAGAAACCTTAGCAGCCTACTTCGAATAACCTTCAGCTCAATTTTTCTTGTAGGGACCATATAAGCTATCAATAATAGTCGAGGAATACTCCTCCTTCCATGCTTAGTTTGCTATCACTGTGCAATGGTTAGAAATGCCTGAAAATTCCATAGTGGCTTAAGTCTTTGTTGATCCTCATAGAGGAACTTTTGCCGATTTTCAACCTAACCAAGGTGCTTCTGAGCATCAACCGTATACATTTGTGTGTGCGAAGCTCTGAATGTGAGTTTAATGCCAGAATAAACAATGACAAATTGGCCATGGACAGTGCTGAAGTGACCTCTAAGACATCGTAGACATCCGAGTTCCTGAAGATTATCAAAAGCTAGATGTATGGTACATTTTTGTCCAGTATATGTTTGACGTAAGTCTTCTAATTTCCAAATTTCTCCCGTGCACTCGAATATTCAGATAGAGCATACAGTGGACTAATAATATTGTTTCACGTCTGTGTTTAAAATCACAGTAGTATTCACACTTCAGGCCTACTTCCCACATCAGCCAGTCAGAGATAGCAGTATGTTGTATATCTTTCACCAGTCGCAGTGGTGCATAAAATGAACAGCTTCTCCGTTGTCAGTGTCCCTGGGGGTTTGT